AAAAAAAAAAGAATGGGAACTGCTATATTTCTATACCTTGAGAAAAGTTCAGTAGGTAATCACTCTTCATCTCTACTCCTGAGTAAGCTGCAGGCCAGGTCTCTGTTTAGATTTGGTTGAGCTTCTTGGAATCCTAACTAGTACTTTCCAAAGAATAGGTCTTTCAGAGAGCAGATTAAGAATCCATTTCTAGGCCAAATGCCAATGGCTCACACCTGTCATCCTAGTTGCTCATGAGGCTGAGATCTGAGGATCACAGTTCAAAGTCAGCCCAGACAGAAAAATTAATTGACTGCATAACTGCCTGCTCAAATGGTAGAACACTAGCCTTGAGCAAAAAGGGGCTCAGGGACAGCACTCAGACAATGAGTTCAAGCCCCAGGACCAGCTATACACACATACAAACACACACACACACACCATTTCTAGTGGGGCAGGCAGAGATAGAGAGGATAGTGAGGTCAGCCCAGGCACAAAAATAGAAGACCAGCTACACACACACACACACACAGAGGACCAGCTACACACACACACACAGAGGACCAGCTACACACACACACACACACACACACAAGACCAGCTACACACACACACACACACACACAAGACCAGCTACACACACACACACACACACACACACACACACCATTTCTAGCGGGGCATGGTAATCCTACTTGGCAGGCAGAGATAGAGAGGATAGTAATTTGAGGTCAGCCCAGGCACAAAAATAGACATTGAGAGACTCCATCTTAACCAACTTAGAAAAAAAATGCTGGGTGTGGTGATATGCATGTGTCTCCTCAGCTACATGGAAAGGGTGTACAGGATGATGGCAGCAGATCCTTCTCACAGGGGCACCAGAGTGAGGCCCTGGCCTCCAGCATCATTCCTCTTGCTGGCCCCTCCTTTTTGAGGCTTCCCTGAAAACAAAAACCTCTCTGAAGTATTTTTGAGCTAGAGGAAACCATCAAGCACTTAGGAAAAAAAATCTTGTACACAACAAAACCTCCAACAGTCTGTTTCACTTTTCTTTCCTTTTTTTTTTTTTTTTGGTTGGCTGTGGAGCTTGAACTTGGGGCCTGGGCACTATCCAGGAGCCCTTTTTGCTCAAGGCTAGTGCTCTACCACTTGAGCCACCATTCCACTTCTGGCTTTTTTTTTTCTGGGTAGCTAACTGGAGATAAGACTCTCATGGACTTTCCTGCCTGGGCTGGCTTAGAACTGTGATCCTCAGATCTTAGTCTCCTGAGTAGCTAGGATTACAGGTGTGAGCCACCGGTGCCTGACAAGGCTATTTTACTTTGAGAGGAGGAGAATATTGAAGAAAGGTGTGAATGGTGTGGTGGGAGAGATGAGCAAGTCTGACAAGGGGAATTTAGGGCGGAGTCCCCCAGGTGTGAGCTTCAGGGAGAGGAGCTGGTTTTGTGTGGAGAGTGTTGAAGGCAGGCTCCTCTTCCCCAGAAAATGGAGAGTGAAGGGAACAGACCTTTTTCTGCAGGAGACGGAGTGTACCAGAAGGGGATGGACTTCATTTTAGAGAAGCTCAACCATGGGGACTGGGTCCACATCTTCCCAGAAGGTCAGTGGGGCTGGCTGGCTGGAGGCCTGGGCGTGCCTGAGCGTGGCTCCCAAGCTCCCCCTGTGCGCTCTCTCTAGGGAAAGTGAATATGAGTTCCGAGTTCCTGCGCTTCAAGTGGGGTGAGTGCCGTGGCCCGCGCCTCTGGCTGGGTGTGTGGGGCAGGTGATGAGTCCACTGTGTGAGCTTTCACTTGGGAGCAGCAGGGGAAAGCACTGCACAGGGACTGTGAAGGAAGTGTGGCCTGGCTCATGACACTGCCTTGCCTCTCCCCCCGACAGGAATTGGACGCCTGATTGCCGAGTGTCACCTAAACCCCATCATCCTGCCGCTGTGGCATGTTGGTGAGCCTTCCCTTGGTGGTGTCTGAGGTGGCAGAGAGCGGGCAACTGGGGTGGAGGACCTAGGACTCCCTGTGGCCCCCGGCTGCCCTGTTCCCCTTAGTGACAAGCCTCCGTCTACCACGCTGCAGGAATGAATGATGTCCTTCCCAATAGCCCACCCTACTTCCCCCGCTTTGGCCAGGTGAGTAGATCTGCTGACCCCTGTCTGTCTCTGTCTGCTGGGCCGCCTGCTGTCTCTTCTGAGCCATACTCCAGAGGACAGATGTGGGAGGAGCTGAGCTTTAGCCACAATAGAGAAACTGAGGGGAGCCTAGATAGGGATTTCCTGACACCAAGAGGTTTACGATGGTAATAGAAAACCAGGCCTGGGTAGGGATAGGCCGTGGGGTTGGAATGGTGCAAATCAGATATGACAGGTGCCAGGACTGGGATTGTGTTGGGTTGTGCATGCATGCATGCATGTGTGCATGCGTGTGTGTCTTTGTGTGTGTGTGTGTCTGTGTGTGCACACCAGTTTTAAGGCTTGAACTCCAGGCCTGGGCAATGTTGCTGAGTTGTTTTTTTTTGTTCAGGGCTAGCACACTCTACCACATGAGCCACAGATTTACTTCTGGCTTTTTGCTGGTTCATTGGATATAAAGAGTCTCACAGTCTTCACTGCTGGGGTTGGCTTTGAACCACAATCCTCAGATCTCAGCCTCCTACATAGCTAGGATTACAGGAGTGAGCCACCAGTGCCCAGCTCTACCTGCGTATTTTAAGGAGGGAAAGAGGCCTAGGGGAGCACATAATATGTCAGAGTAGGACTTGGCTCTGGCTCCCCAGGTTGCTTGGGCTGGGACTGGGGACAGTTCCTTGCTCCTTGTCACCTTCGGCGGCCGGCCTCCCCACAGAAAATCACCGTGCTCATCGGGAAGCCCTTCAGTGCACTGCCTGTGCTCGAGCGGCTCCGGGCAGAGAACAAGTCAGCTGTGAGTGTCCTCCTTGTAGCTGTCCTCAGCCCTCCCACCCCTCAGCCTCCCAGGGCACCTTAGCCAAGGTCCCTGAGGGGTACAGGGCAGCCCCGTCCTCATCCTTAGGTGGAGATGCGCAAAGCTCTGACAGACTTCATTCAAGAGGAATTCCAACGCTTGAAGACACAGGCCGAGCAGCTCCATAACCACTTCCAGCCTGGGAGATAAGCGTTGTCCCACTCAGTCCGGCTGTGGAATCCTCAGCTCCAAGAAGTGGCTGTGTCCTCTAAGGCATGGGAAGAGGCAGAGCTCAGACCTCAGTACCAGCCTGGTTGGCTCTCAGCACCACCATTGGCTTTTTTGCCTTGCATGAACCTGGGGCTGGAGGATGGATGCTGCTTTTAGCTAAGATGCGGGTTTTAGGCAGATTGGCTCCTAACCACTACTGGATGCTCTCTTCTACTTGGTGAGCATCTAGCTCCTCTGTGGTTCGTTAGTTAAAGGAGGGCTTGGCTCTTCCTCACACTTGTCCAAGAAGGCAAGAAGAGTCTTAGGCAGGGGCCTCCTTCCTTCTTGCCTTCCCATTTCCTCTCCTGGGGTTGGCAGGGAGTGAAGGAGGCAGGTGAGCAATGAGTAGGGTGGGGGAGGTGGGGCCTGGCTAGGACTATGGCCCAAGGGCCATAAAGCCCCTAGGCCTGGCTCCCACCTGCGCACCCTTGCCAGTGGAAGAGCGGCTCATTACTTCCTCAGGGATGGCTGTCAGCCATGTCTTCTTTCTGCCTGAGCTTCCCCCACTGCAGAGCCTGTCTTTAGGCAAGGCCTGTCCTTGGGTCACCTGCAGACAGGAAGAAAAGTTCTCGGCCAGAAGTCAAGCCCAGCTGAGCAGAGCCTGCAGCAAGGGCCTAAGAGCTGGCCACTCATCGCCGTGCTGGGGCCCGCCCACTTTTCTATCCTTTCTGTCTTGATACCTCTCATGTCCTGGAGTCTAGATTTTCATGTTTTTTAAAACAATAAAGCATCTATGTTGTGCCATTGTACCTTTGGCCTTTCTGTAGGGATGGGACGTGACCCACTGGACCAGAAAGGAGGATCCATCCCACTTCCAGTGGCTCACACCTATAACTAGCTACTCAAGAGGCTGAGATCTGAGCATCTTGGTTTGAAGCTAGCCTGAGTAGGAAAGTCCATGAAACTCTTATTGCCAATTAATCACAGAAAAAGATGGAAGTAGTGCTGTGACTTAAGTGGTAGAGTTCTAGCCTTGAGCAAAAGGAGCTCAGGGACAGTGCCCAGGCCAAGTTCAAGCCCAGTACTGGTACACATGTGCATGCACACACATACACACAGAAAGAAAGAAAAATAAAGCTAATTAGATCAAGCTGGTGGGGCCACATTTGGGAGACCCTAAGTGTGAATTGACTCCATAATACCCAGGTCACTTTAAGGAGGTAGAAGGGCTTGGAAGTTCCAGAGAGTGTCCAGCTAAGAACATCTAGTACTGTGATTTTTTTTTTTTGGTCATGGGGCTTGAACTCTGGGCCTGGGCACTGTCCCTCAGCTCTTCAGCTCAAGGTAAGCACTCTACCACTTGAGCTACAGTGCTGTTTCTGGTTTTCTGAGTGGTTCATTGGAGATAAGAGAATCGTGGACTTTCCTGCCCAGGCTGGCTTTGAACTGCCATCCTCAGATCTCAGCTTCCTGAATAGTTAGGATTACAGGCATGAGCCACTGGTGCCCAGCTAGTACTGTGATCTTGGGTTGGGGGAAGGGAGATGAACCTAGGTAGGAGCGAGAAGATCCAAGATGCTGGAACTCCTGGGCATGTCTGAGCAAAATCAAATTCTTGAAAGAAACCCATGTTCCTTTTAAGCCCCCAGTTTGCCCATAAACTAAATAAAAAAGACTTCATAGCTGGGCACTGGTGGCTCACGCCTATAATCCTAGGTATCCAACATCTGAGGACTATGATTTGAAGCCAGCCTGGGCAGCGAAGTCCATGAGACTTCCAAATAAACTACTAAAAACCTGGAAATGGTACTGTGGCTTAAGTAGTAAAGTGCTAGCCTTGGGCAAAAAATGCTCAGGAACAGCACCTAGGCCCTGAGTTCAAACTCCAGAACTGGTATACACACGTGAAAAAGGCCTTACAATGGTCACCAACCCTAATAAAGAAATTACTGCTATTTCGGTAAGCAGGAACAAGGACAGGTTGAAATCCTTGTGTACTTCCAAGACTCATAGGATTATACACAATATTAACAGTATATCATTATAGAGAAAGAAAGGATGTAACTAAATTGTTGCTGATCCTACCTACTGCAGAGGCTGAAACCTGAGAATCTAGCTAAAAGCTAGCCTGGGCTGGAAAGTCTATGATATTCTTATCTCCAACTAAGCACCAAAAAGCCAGAAGTAGAGATGCTGCTCAAGTGGTAGAGTGCTAGTGTTGAGTACAAAAGCTAAGGGACAGTGCCCAGGCCCTGAGTTCAAGCTCTAGGGGAGGCATACAAAAAAAAAAATGTAACCAAATTGTTTTAAGAAGTGGAGCAGAGGGGAAGGGGAATAAAAAATGCTGAAACAAGGACAAAGGGTGATCCATTGCAACAATGATACAAGACACTGTTAGAAATGAACCTTACAACTTTGCGGGGGGGAGTGGGGAAGGAAGGGATAGTAGGAGAAAACAAAGGAGGGGGTAACAATGCCCGGCAAGAAATATACTCATCACCTTACTGATGTAATAGTAGTCTCTCTGTACAGCATCTTTACAAGAAAATTTAAAAACATTAAGAAAATAAAATTTTAAAAAAGTGGAGGCCTGGGAAGGTGGCTCAATGGTAGAGCGCTTGCCTCACATGCATGAAGCCCTGGGTTCAATTCCTCAGTACCACATACACAGAAAAAGCCAGAAATGATGCTGTTGCTCAAGTGGTAGAGTGCTAGCCTTGAGCAAAAAGAAGCTCGGGGACAATGCCCAGGCCGAGTCCAAGCCCCAGGACTGGCTCCCCGCCAAAAAAAAGTGGAGGATGAGAGGGGAAGAATGGAAGGGTAAGTTTGATTCTGGTATACGGTATGGATGTATTGAAATGTCCCAAGAACTCCCCTTGTACAATGAATATATGCTAGTAGCAAATCTTTTTTAAGATAGAACCACAGAAATGAACCAGTAACAAAAGAACATTCAGACAATATGACTGCTGCAATTATATTGAAATTAATATTTCAAAATGAATGCTTTTTAATCGCCAAAAGAGCCAGGTGTGGTGGTACATGCCAATAATCCTAGTACTTGGAGGGGCAAAAGCAGGAGGATTGAGAGTTTGAGGCAAACCTTTGCTACATCATCACTTTCCAGGCTAGCTTGGGCTACATACTAGTCAGACCTTACCTCCAAAAAAACAAAATTAAGCAAAATTACCAAAGGGAGCCAGGCCCTGGTGGCTCACACCTATAATCGTAGCTACTCAGGAGGCTGAGATCTGAGGATCGCGGTTCAAAGCCAGCCCAGGCAGGAAAGTCTATGAGACTCTTATCTCCAACAAACCACCAGAAAAACGGAAGTGGTGCTGTGGCTCAAAGTGGTAGAGGGCTAGATAGTTTTGCAGTGCTAGGGGTAGAACGCAGGTTAGGAGAGAATGAGAAGCTTTGGGAATGCTGAATTCTTGGCCTGGTGGTGCCACAAGTCTGTTTACTCTGTAGTCACTGGTGCATCTTCATGTTGGGCTGTTGTTTTTTGTTTTTGCTTTTGTCTTTGGGGGATTATATTTCAAATCAGAAGGTTTTGTTAAGAAAGCTCAGAGCTGAGTGCCAATGGCTCACGCCTGTAATCCTAGCTACTCAGGAGGCTGAGACCTTAGGATCGTAGTTCAAAGCCAGCCCTGGCAGGAAAATCCACGAGACTCATCTCCAACAAACCACTAAAAAATCCGAAGTGGCGCTGTGGCTCAAATGGTAGAGTGCTAGCCTTGAGCTGAAGAGCTCAGGGTCAGTGCCCAGGCCCAGAGTTCAAGGCCCACGAATGCCAAAAATAAAAATAAAAGCAAAAGCTCAGCAGGGGTTGCAGGGCACAGGGAGTTTCCAGCGTTGAATCATGCATTTCATACAGTGAAACCTACAGTGTGTGGCTGTGAGGTCTCCTGATCCCTGAATCACAGCCACTTCCAGTTCTGGTGTCTTGCCTAGTAGTGGGTAAGGAGGATGACTAAAAATATGTCAAACAAGCCGGGTGATGGTGGCTCACGCCTGTAATCCTAGCTACTCAGGAGGCTGAGATCTGAGGATCGCAGTTCAAAGCCAGCCCGGGCAGGAGAGACCGTGAGACTCCTATCTCCAATAAACCACCAGAAAACCGGAAGTGGCGCTGTAGCTCAAGTGGTAG